CCCCCCTCCCCCAGAGGAGTGGGACTGCTTTACTGGATCCTCTCACTGAGATATAGTGGAAGTGACCAACATTCAATCGTCTAATTCTAAAAAGCAAATCTGTGACAGTATGTGTGGAAGGAAAATAAGGAAAAAAAGTAAGCACTAATTGGGCCTACTCATCAGTAGGACTATCACTACGTGGAAGAGGATTAGAGACTTAGATGTCTGTTTTTAAGTTTCCAGCAAAATATGATATGATTTGATTCAATCTATTGTAGAGGTGGACATCAAAGACATCATGAGTTGAACTCCAATACAGATATTCAAGCTCCACACCTATTGATAAGATGTGAGTTGCTTGGACCTGGATTTGTGTTTAAACCCAAAAGATATCAAACACTTACCAAGAGTAATCAATATGTTTATGATTCCTTTGAAAATACTGGCAAGGCGAGAAAGTGGTAATATTAATTCCAGTATTACTTTTTAAGGCTTCAGTAATATAGAAGTTGCTATTACTAATGTTAGTGACAAATTGCTCAATTTTTTTGTACTTGGCACTCAAGACACAAAATTGTAGTCTGGAAGGAAAGTAAACTTAGACCATGCAAAAAGATACTTCTGGCTCAGAACAAGTAAAGTCATGGTATTTCATTCCCCTTCATATGATTAAAAATATTTAATTTGATTTCTCTTATGGGGTAACAGCTTTGTATTTTAAAAGCTTTCTTCATCGAAGTTCAGTGTACATTGAGAGTTTGTGTATTTCTCACAACTGGTGACAGTGATGATGAATAGGAATGCAGCAGCTAAAACCCTGTTCAGACAGAATTTATTTGTGCATCAATTGAGTTTACTCGTTTTATAGAACAACCACAACAAACACATTTTACTGCTACATTGAATGGCATGTTTAAAACACCTTTTTTCTAACCTTTTCAGTTTGAATTTATTTTGGACATGTGGTTTTTACACTACGTGGTGATTTTTCACATGATTTAACAGCTTTAGATAAAGAATCACTGCAGTTTAATGTTCTTACCACTCCTCACATCTGACTGGGTATTGGTCATAGTCTCCGGGAAGTTAATTCTTTTCTATTATTTGAGACTGAAATGTTTGTTACACTAGTTATTTGATGTGAACTGGTCTCCAACTTCCTAACTCTCTTACTTTTTTTTCTATGGGGCATGCTACACAAATCATTTCTCCTTTCCTGTATAATTGCCCATGTTTTGTTGCTTCTTAAGCCTTTGCCAGGAGTGCTTTTTCTTCCCTTGCATACAGTTAGCCATGTTCAAGGCACTCTTGGTTCTGGCTTAACCTTGGTCCTCATTTCCTTTACTGTCAGCACTTCCCAAGCATCGCTCTTAATTCCCCTTTTGTCTCTTTTGCTCACTCCCAACTTTGTGTCTTTTTCCACGCTGCCTCCTACACATGGAACAGCCTCCCAATTAACGTACGTAAAGATCCTTCACTATCCTCCTTCAAAAAACTCCTGAAAGTCCACTTACTTTGTAACGCATTTCAGTAATAACAACCACTTGTCATTCTGTCTGTGTTGTGTTGTGTTTTGCATTTCTGTGCTTTACAGCTTGTGCCCTTTCAGCTCTTTGGGGTAGAAATCATAGTAGGGGACTGGCACATTTTGTTATTGCTTAGCATGATGTGCTCCCCCAGCACTACATAAAACCAAAATAAGTCTATTCATTGTGGGTATCGGTTTAGAATGATTTAAGTTTTGGAATTGTAGATGTGCTGTCACTGGAGAGATGTAGATTCCCAGAGGCCAACGGTTTCAAATGTAGGTAGCTTAGAGTTACTTACCAAAATTTGTCTGTAAGTATGGGAATCGTCCTTTTGTTCAAAACTGCCCAGCTTTAGTAACTCCTGTTGGTTTCAATGAGAAAAGTAAATGCTCATCACTTACAAACATCCAGATTAATTAAAATAATTAAATTTTCAGCTTCTGTACTGGAAACATTTGGCAAGAGATGAATAAACTATATTAGATGCTATCTTATTTTGTTCATTTTGTAATACTGAAAAAAAATTGTCCCGTTCTAATGAGGAAAAGTGATGGTGCCAATTAAGCTTATTAAAAAGTTCTTTTATGGTGAGCAAGAACTTCTTTTTTACTTTGTGTTTAATTACCAAGGATTAGACTGCTCAAATCTGTAATTTGAGTATAGATAGCAGCATACTTAATAATTTGCTATAACTTCTGTTGATGCCATTACCAAGGGATGAAGAAAGCTATGCTAATTTGAACTACATTTGACAGGTATTGGTGAAGACTTATTATGTTGTCCTTGCCTACAAACATATTCACCGTTTAATAACTAAGCCTATAAAAGATTTTTCCTTCATCACCTCTGAAGTTACATTATACAAAACAATGCAAAGCCATTAATGAGATTACAATAAAGAGTGTCTAAGAATATAGCAATTCTTTTGACCAATTGATTTATAACTCTTGTTTGCTTTAATTACCAAAATTCTTAGTGTAATCCACAAATGATTTCCTTATTTTTCTTGGCAATTAGTCTCTCTTGACTGGTAAAGTTCTTAGGCTGTTGATGTGCCACATACGTTAATTTGTAGTGTATTGTCTATGCTGTCATCGCTGCTTATATATGCTCGTGCTATGAAGTAAATGCAAGATTCCTTGGCTTGTACCTCAGTGTAAAAGCAGCATCTGACGCAAGGTTAAAAATGTGTATGTCCACAGATGCCACTGAATAGCTCATAACATTATAAGCCACATGCTTTCTTAATTCCTGGTAACTCGCTTCAGTATCACACCTTTATATTCCAGTTGTCTGAAACTTTCAGCTTCAGATGTTCATAACCACAGAATCAACCATCTCCTCTTCCTTCTCTTGTGAGTGACATTCCTTCTTCAATGTCTACTCGTGAGGTCTTGGATGCTTTTAATCCAAATTTTATCCAGCTTTTCTGCCTTGATTAATTTATGTTGAGATAAAAAAAAATGTAATTCAGTTAACACATAGCTGACATAATCTTAAGTCCATGAGTGGAACTGATACTATTTTTAAGTTACCTTTTCCAGTACGCAGCTAGAACTTCATAGTCTTACAAACTATGCATAGATGAAATCTTTCTAAGAAAAAGTGTAATTCCTTCAACTGATACGTGTATTTTTCTGCAATGTTCATTTTTGAGCTTAAAAAAAAAAAAGGGTTGTTTTAAATGTATGAGGTTTTGCTGGTTTATCAAGGAATAACTTATTTTCCTATTCAACTTTCATGTATGTTCTTATTTTACCTTAGTCTTAAGTTGTATACTGCTGTCCAGAACTTCCTATATAAAGCTGATGCACTTTAAGACATCATTCAAATTTATATTAAATACATTAAATGCATGATGATTACTTAATTGGACTTTAAGAAAAGTTTGATACAAATGAGATTTGCTCTAGAGGTGAATTCCGTTTGTTGTCAGTGTAGTTACTTTTAGCCATTGGAGAGGTTATAATAGAGGACTTACTTTCTTTTGTTCCTAGCTATTCTCCTATATTTTTGCAGCATCAGTTTTTTAGTATTGGAAATATTTTCTAAAGCACACATTTTTGTTTTTAGTACTGCAGATAAGCACACATTCAATGTCTTCAATTCCATAGTCTCTATATTTTTAAGTAGGATTTTTGATTCTAAGCAACATTTTTGTAACTTTTTTTTTTTTAAATGTTCTAAATTGATAGGGTATCTACTTTTCTAGTTTTCTAGCTATGGTACAGAGTTAATTCTCAGACGCATTTAATATGTGTGTGTAACTTCAAAGCTTTAAGATCCCCTTTTCTGGAAATCTGTGTTGTAACTTGAATCAGAAGCTTCTGAATTTTTTTTTATCTCATTCTGAAAAACAGTGACGTTTTTATCACAGTAAAATGTGTTGAATGTGTTATATAGCCATAAAGAAACATTGTTGGTTCTTAATAAATGATTAAATAAATTATTAACTATGATTTGATAATATTGAATGTGATGATACATTCACTATCCAAGACCAGTTAAACCATGATCTGGGTGTTTTTTTAGGTTTGGTTGAATGTTTCTCTCTTATTATTAGATTCTAGTGATCTCTAACAACTAACTGCTTAGCAGCAAATATCACTGAGAAACTTGGAGTAAAATTCATCTTGAAATTATTGTTGGTAATAATAAAAACATATGGACAGACTGGCTTTGTATTGTATGAAATAGTTGTTATGTATATATTCTTCTTTTTAAAAATGTAGGATAGAGATTATAAGCATAGTCATGTGTACCTAAAAATAATCATCAAATAATGGAAAGGAGAAAATATTCTTCCTACATGTGAATTTTGTAACACTAGCTGACTCTCTCAATATACAAATAAATATACTTAATTCCAGCTAACGATATTTTGAATAATGTTCTTATATGTTAAGTGAAATTGTGAGGGTTTTGCATACTGATTTGTGCAATAAACCTGCACGTTTGTTTAATCACATGAATGTTTTCTAATAGATCTGAGTTTTAAAGTCTTCCTCAAATATGGTGTAATCAGTTATAATTCTTTCTTCCACTAGGCTTCAGCTTAGCTCTTAATCATGAGGATAATTCAGATGCTAGTTGATCGCAAATATTTTTATATACATGAAAATACTTCTCTCAGTGTAACTTTTATTTTTCTCTCTTAATTTTCTATAGTCATGTGTATGTTTTTGGTTTAATTCAGTCCTGCTCCACAGGGTGATTCTTTGTACAGTTTTCTCTGTCACATGCATGTTTACCAATATAAGATTCTGCTAGCTGGCAGAAGAATGTAAGATTTGTTAGGGCAGAAGGGAGTGGGCTGGCATAGATTTTGATTGCTTTAAAGTTACAATTTTTATCATGAGCCATTGTTACAGAAAGTCTTTATGGCATGATTTATCCCTTCCAAATACAACGGATGGGGTCTTTTTGACACTAAAGTGATCGCTGGATTTCTTGCAGAGAGCATTTTTTTTGTCAATAGCTCTCTGTTCTGAGAATGGCTTGTCACATCACAAAACTTGCTTTTTGTGGGTTCATTTTCTGTACCACAAAGTGTGAGAATTGGAGGAGACAATAGATAGGAGCAGACAGCAAAGACAGAGGCAAGGGTGCAAAAGCATAAAGTGTGTGAAGAATTAATGTGAACAGAGTGGCGTGAATACTGGGTGTTTCAGATATATACTGAAAGGGTAGTTGAATTCTGATGTTTTTTATTATCACAGAGAGTTATTTTGACATATTTAGGTCTAAAAGATCTAGAAGAACAAGAAAGACCCCAGTAGAACCTGGAAAATGATACTGAATCTGTTGGTTCAGTGCTTCAAAGCTTAGTTATTTAAAGCAAGTTAGCTTTAGCAAAAGTTAGTGTATTAAAGCTCCTTTCACTATAACTTGAAATGTTGACCTCTTGTCAGTTGGAAATGTATTTTTTCATTAGACAGTTTGGTTAATGGCATTCTAAAGAAGATATTTGATGATGGCAGTGTCCTGGCATTGTTTAGAGGGAGGCTGTTGAGGCATATTTTCCTCCCCCTCCTCTTTTGAAGGACTGTTTTGTGCTGATTGCTGTAATGCTCCCCAAATTGGAAACTTAAGTGATTGCTGTAGAAATAAGTTTACCCAGTTTTGATTTTATTTTCTTTTACTTGTGATATACCCTTGACAAAATTTTTTTAGTGTCTGAAACTTTGGTGTCTGAAATGAGTCCTAAGTGTAGGCTTATGAAGCTGGGATTTATTTTTGGAACAGCAAACAAATGTTACTCAGGTTAGTTGGGTCTATCTTTGCTTTCTCTTTTTGAAAATTGTGCAAACAATGCATGTTTAGTTTTTATACCACCTTTAGATTTTGATTTATTCTTCCATAGCCTTTTAAGTGCTTTACATTTGACGCCTAAGAATGTTTGTCACCTTTGTTTGGGGGGTGATTGCTGCAGAGAGAAGGTGGAAATCATTTTATGTTTAAAATGAGACTTGAATCTTCCTCTTGACCTTGGTACAGATTTAGCGTGTATCCAAGCTTCCACCTCTTTAATATTAAAATGTAATTTTATTTTTTACTGGTGCGTTGACATAATTCTGTTTTATTCTCAAAGGTTGGATTAGGGATTGGATAGAAAGAAGGGTTTTTGCTGAAGTGTGGGAGCAAACAGACAATTTACTTCATCAGGGAGAGGCATCTGTGTTGACATGATTGCATTTCAGTTTGATGGAGACGCATGTAATTTTGAAACAAGCATTGCCTTAAGCAGTAGAACTCAAGAAGTCAGGTTGTCTAGGGGACTGTGTCTTGAGGTCTATGGATCGTCTCGTGTCTGTTGAGGGGGGTGCTCACACTGTAACTTCATGTAGTCCGACATGCATAAAATCTCTCCTTTTACTGGCTTCTTACTTCCATGAAAGCTTTCCAGGTCTGACTTGTTTGTTTGTTTTAACCTCTGTCATACTGAACAGCAATTCTTGGAATCGGGAATGGGATGACACAAACACAGAAAGAGTATGTTTGCATCAGCTTGACTTGCTTGGAAGCAGGCTAAAATTAGGATCTTTTTGAAAGCTCATTTAACTGCTGGGTAAATACTAGAGGTTTTCATGGAACAGACTAAATGAGTTTGCTCTATATTGTCATGCATTATGTTTACTTTGTTTATGGTGGAGGATTTAGAAAATGTAGTCTTCTAAATAGCTCCTCATCAGCCAGTTTTCAAACCACTTTCAACACATTAGGTAACATAGAAGGCAGACGAACTACTAGATTGAATACTGTTTCATGAGTCACCACTGTATCTTCTTTTGGAATGCTTAGCTCTGTTTCATTTGTTTGTTTATTATTGTTTATATGGTCTTGGCTTTGCTAAAGCTAAAATGGTCTTACTGAGGTAAGCCGGTTCATCCATTTTTCCCCTCAATTTTATTACATTTTTTTGAAGTCGAAAGTTGGGAATATGCAGTTAGTAAATAAAATCAATAGTTCCAGTGGTTGCAAACAGAAAATTACACCAGGCTTCTGGAAGCTTCATTACTTTTCCAGAACATTAATAAATTTATACTTTAAAGTTGGCCAATGAAGTATTAATTTAAGTTAGAATACAGATTTAAAGCTACTACCACAAAGTTGATGCCTTGTTTAAATTTAAAATATGTAAAAGCAATAGAAATATTTTACATTAGGTATTCACTTTTGAAAATAAATATAATTTGCTCACAATGTTTACGGAATCCAATCAGTGGCAGCATTTTTTTAAGATCTGGGAATCTGAAAATATGGAAAAGGGAAAGCGACTTGGCTATTTGTGCTGAATAGATTTGAATATTGCTTGAAGTTTCATTTACCTCATATGACAAGCATTCTTCTTTTGTTTTGAAGCATCTTAGATATATCAGAAGGGGAGCTTGCATCTACAGTGTTCTAATGAACTAATTAAAATGAAATTATGGCTGGATAACATTATTAATAAAGATACTAATTTGGGGGGGTTCGGTATCGTTACTGCTTCATAAATCATATCGTAATTATAGATGAAGGTCATTATCCAGTGAGCATTGTGCAGTACTGGAAGGTAGGGACTCCCAGGTGAAGTTTTGACACAGAATCTTCTTATAGATACGACAAGAAAAAACTTTTATAAGGAAATGATCCCTTAAGGCTTTCCATTATAGTTTTCAGAGTGATTGCACAATTAAAGGCTTTGTTTGTTTACTAATCCTCATTTGTATATTAAAAACTGATAATCCTGTAGATTTCTTTTATGCTGCTTTTTAATATACAGCCATCACTGTTGTATGTGTAGTAGTCGAAGGATCAGTGGGAACATTGCTTGTTGATAGGGAGTAAGCAGGCTCTTGTTCTGATAATTTGGGGTTTTTGCTTTTTTTAATTTCTCTTTAAACAATATTGCCTACACCTTTGCTAAGCACAATTTGACAGTGGCTAAAGTACTGGTGACAGCCAGAGGTAGCATTTACCATGAGGAAACGTTAACCCGTTACCATTTTCATTGGGAACAGTAGTGACAAACTTGTCAGGGGATGGTGGTGGAGGGGGCAGAGGTCTAATGAAAGCACAGCCATTGGCTACCTCTTTAATCTGGGGAGGGGGATCATCTTGAACTAAACAAATCCTATTTAAAGAATTGGGTAATTAGTAGTCTTGTCACTCTACAGATTAGCATTTTGAATCGCTTTCAGTAAAAATGCAAACTGCCTTTATTATTTCTGTCTTTCAAAAAGCACATAATTGAAAACTATTTCGTTATTTGAGATGCTTCTTTGAATCACCTTCAAAAAGGATAATTTTTTTTGAAAAATCTGAATGAATGGATTTAGTTGTTTGCTGAATGGCAATATGTCAAGATTGGGTTTGTGCCTTGCATAGCCCCACCTTGTCCAAGGATTGAAAAGGTAGAAGGGCCTCACCCCACTTTTTCTTGTATGGGGTAGCAAAACCAAACCTAACTCATCATCTCCACATTGTACTTACAATAAATGTTAATTAGTTTATGAATATTTAATGATCTCTCAGCAATCTTTTCATGATTTTTTTTTTTCATTCCTTCAACTGACTAATGCTGGGGTCCCTCTCTGCATTCCATGTTCTCAAGCGGTATTTGTCCTCTAGTGGGCTGAGTGACTTCTGTAATCCAAGAACCACTAGCTTGTCATCATCAATGAAGTATGCAGCCAAAACTTGGAAGTGAAAATATAACCATTTTTAGATATTTGCACATGATCTCACCCTAATGTTGTGGTGTGGGGTTTTTGGAGTCTCCCCCCCCAAATATTTATTTGAGTATTTATTTAATCTCTCTCTACCTGGGATTCTGATTTGGGAGGGAGCAGTAAAGTAGTTGCAAGCACTCTGTCCTGGGTGGTTTTGGAGAAGAGGAGGGAAGGTGTGAAAGCACAGAGTGTGGTCCTCTTTCAGGTAGATACTGCTGGTTTGGAAGTTTCTGCTCTAGCAGCTGAGCATAAGAGAATCCCAAATGGGGAGGAGGGAGGGAGGAGAATGTGTAAGACACTTTACTGGAGGTAAGTAGCCAGTCTTTAGACAAAAGCTTGACAGCTGTTTTTTAAAGGAACTCAGAAAATAAAGCAATTTAAGAAAATTGTGAGCACATCACTATTACTTTTAATTGCAAAGTTCAACAAACTTTGTATTTCATTCCATTATTTAGTGTTAATAGTTTAAAAAAAACAACACAACAAAAAACCTTTCCACTTATCTAACATGCTTCTTGTTTCTACTTGTTTTATTTCTAGCATATTATCAAGTTTCACCGTGCCTCAAAAGCAAATAAAAAGCCCATGCAGTTGCCAAGATCTATGGTTAAATCCCTACTCTACCAGATCCTCGATGGAATCCATTACCTCCATGCAAACTGGGTGCTTCACAGAGATCTGGTAAGTGTTGCATGTATTACCTGGTTAAAGTTTCACGTGCGTGTTGTTGGGTAGGAGAAGAAAAGTCCCTATTAGTAATCTTGCGTATCGATCCGTACAGCTCTTCCTGTTATTGTTGCAGGAGACCAATGGAGACTTTAAACATGAAAACAAACTATGTTTTCACATTGTTTTTATCTGAGTCATCTGAGCTCAGACAATGATGCTAGATCCGGTAAAAGGATTGCAGATATCAATATCCGAAAACAGTACATGAGCCAGCTGATATATGTTGGTTGAACATTCTTATAAGTTTGTGCACAACTTTGAAAAAGCATTTAAGTAGGAAAGTGATTGATACCCTTGTACATTGTTTGGCTTACGTGCAAGTTAACCATAAAAGCTAGTGAAAGAGTAGTTTTTTCATGGAGTATTTCTTTTCCATGTGGTATTTTTTCTGACCGTGGGAAGAGAACTATGAAAGAGTTGTCATCTTGAAATTTCTCATGACCTGACGTGGCTCTTTAAGTTGACTGCAGATTACAAGGGCAGCCAGTTGCCTTGTCTTAGTTACCCTGTTCCCCTTAAAGTTTCCCACCACTCCTCATTCTTAAGTGAAGTGCTACCAAGGGTTGCAAAAAGAATACTAATATGGGTATAGTGCTTGCTGCCACTTGCATTGTAACTAGAATTTTTGGCATGAGACAAACAACATGATGGTTAATATGCCAAATCTATTCTAATAGTTATGCTATTGTAACATCAGTAGTAGGTATGATAGGAAATGTAGTGTAGTCTGTGTATAAAGCCACTGCTTTATTTGGTTATGTTTTGTGGTTGCCCCAGTAGGTCAAAATAGAGATGCATGTCCAGAAACTTATAACCGCTAATTAAGTTTTGTGAGATGTAGACTGTTCTTGAGTCTTTAATAGTAAATAGGGGCTTGGATTAATTTTTGGATGTGGAGCAAATGTTTTCTAAGAAGATATGAATAAATGTTAAGGCAAGCCTGGAATAGAAGTCACAGACATCTTCTGAAAGAAATTTTATTTAATTGTTGTCATAATACCTAATAACAGTGGCCAGAAGTGGGGTTTCAGGTTTTGGTATGGGTCATTTTTTGACCTCGTTCCTTGGTATTTATTGTCAGTTTTTCTGTTAAATTTCAGATGCTAGTATATTTGTGGTTTTTTTTTTTTTTTTTTCCACCTTTGGAATAGTAGCCATGAGCAAAAGCAGGAAGCAAGTACAACCCTGATTTTCGTGCTACAATTATTACTTTCCTAAGGAGACAGCTGTTGCTTTGGCAGAGTGCTGAGATGTAATTAGATACAGCTTGAGAAGGAACACCTGAAAAGTCTGTATGTTTAAGGGAAGTGTATGTGTTCATGGAACTATTAAATATATATACACTCAAATGCCATACATGAACTTGATATCTTGATAGGAAATGCAAGATGGTATCTAGGATGATAATAACAGATACCCTAGTGAATTTTCTTGCCGGTGTTGCTATTTCCAGCCTGCAGCACCAGGTGTTTTGCATGACTAGTGCTGCTACTTTACAGGTCTTATCTGTTGGTGATGTGTTGCAGCAAAGCTGGTGCCTAATGTCTGATTCTTCTCTTGGAACTTTGGGAGGTGATGGTTGCTGTTACGAAAAAGACAACTATTTTTCATGGCACTGGAATGATAGTGCTTGATTGATGTTGGCATAACTGAGAAGAGAGAAGAACAGAAATTTGTGAGGTCTTAATGTGTTCTTGGTATGCGAATAAATTTAAGCTAATGGATTCTGGAATACCTCAGTGAGAGAAAGGAAACCATTTAAAAAATTGCTTTGGTACACTGGTGATTTAAAGGTGTATTCAGAATCTTTTGCCTTTTTTTAAATTATTGCAGGTTTCTGAAGAATTCAGGTATTTCAAATAGTTATTTTGTATCTTGAACATAGTAAGAAAGAACTGATGTTATTCTGTATGTGACCTGTCTGCTCTTGAAATTAGGAGTTAATGTAATCATTTAGTAACCAATTTAAATTCTCAGTTAACCAAAAATTGTATAGATCTCTAATTTTTATTCATATGCTCATACCTGTGATTTTTTGTTTCTAAGAACGGTACCTCAGGCACAATTTCACTGGGATCAGTTTCTTGTGTAATACATAAACACCAACTCTTCAGTGTTGTCTTAAGATGGGGAGCAGTTTGTCTGGTGTTTTTCTCTTAGCTGTTTTAATTTACATCTGCTGGAAAAATATTTTTCTATTTTATGTAAACCAATATTTTGCATCAAGACACCTTGTACTTTCCTGGTTTAATATAACTCTGTTCTTACTATTTTTAACGTGCATTTGGATGTAGACCAAAGATGGTGACATCCATAAAAGTCATGTTATGCTTATTTCATTGCCTTTTTTTTTAAAAAAAATTAGATTCTCCAAGAATATTTATCATGATATTAGCCAAATTCTCCTGAGCCATGGAAATGACCTTTAGAATTTATTTAACAAATGTTGCAGTGAAAAAACAGAAGCATGGGAGGTTAGGTATTTGCGAGAGTACTTGCTTGGAGGTATTTGAAGAACATTGTTTAAATCTTAATTTGGTACTGTCTTAAAGAGTTTTTAAAGGAGCTTGAATACCAAATGTGCTTTTTGGAAAACCCTGGTTCTCAATGGATCCATATTTTTAGATACCTTAAAATTGTTAAGTTATTTTTAAGATCAGCAGTAGCCAGCAAAAGCATGATAAGGGTAATAAAACTGGTGAACAATGTGAACTTGCAGACTTGCAATACATGTCCTGTCCTTCGGCTGAGCTAATGGATAGAGCTAATGGATAGTTTCTACCACAAGGAGACAGCCTTGTTCCCCTCTTCACTACCACTAGGCATTGCCACCTATTTTAGTGACCTGGCATGTGACACTCACCTGAGTCACGGTGAGCTCATTCAGGGAGTTAAACCCACAGAAGGTATTCACTCTTCTCCTGCAGAGCTCATTTTCTGCAGGATTAGCTCCCTGAGGGATCTCCCTGGGAGCTTACATGCGTGCGGGAGCTGGCGTGGAAGCAGTGCGAGGCTGGAGATGGTGGCAGAAAGCTGAATGGGTCGTTCTGGCATCATCTGCCATTAGATCAGATTATTTTATTGTTAAAATGCACCTTTTTAATTCTTAGATGGAAAGTGCAAGTGTTTTTAAAAAATGAAATTCAGTTGTGGTTCTATATCAGTATAACCTATGTTTACGTTTAATCTCTTCTGATCCAAGACTTACGTCAGCTTAAACTCTTCCAACACGTGTCCAAATTTAGGAAAATGCCCAAACTGAGGCAAATTATAACACCAAATACACTCATGCTTGTACTTCTAGAAATACGAAAATAATTTACTGTAGTGTATATTTTAATTGTAATATTGGGGTTATTTTGTTTCTGGTTTTCTTATCCTGAAAGTAGCTTAAAGGTGCTAAGTGGCTTTTTAGGTAAATTTTTTGGCTAAGCTGTGAATTTCTGTCAGTTAAAAAATATTCAGCAGTAACTTTCTTTACTGCAACATTCAAACCAGTACAGAAATGGGACAGGAGTGTTAGAGTTTTGATTTCTTTGAGTAGCATTGAGCCAGTTTATACACCTTGGAGTTGACAGAAGTCTATAAAAATCCATACATTTGGAATGGCATTTTGTTGTTGGATTGCATGTTGTTGGGCAATGGTAATTTTGCCTTTTCAACACTGCAGCACTCCTGAAAGCCACATGTGAGAGGAGGGAGGCTTTGCTGGCCCTGCTAGATGCTGTGCATTTCATTATAAACAAGAGGTTAGTATAGATAAATGTTAGAGAAAACCTTTTGGTACTAAGCTTTTGTTTTTTAAAGTGCTCTGTATACACCATGGGCTTGTAGGAGATCTAAAATTGTGCTCCGTATCTTGAGTCAATAGCAAGTTAGAAGATGCAGCATGTGGAGTACAGTATTTCATGGTATTGTAATATCTTTGTCCTCTCCTCCCCCAAACGTGAATTACTTAGATTCTACAGGAATGTTCAGCAAAGGCCTTACTTTGCAGAGATGTCTGAAAATGGAGGTCTTGCATACACTGTTCACATTGCGTGTTCATGTTAGCAACAGAAAGGATTTTGGCACTTGCGCTAATAACCCTTCTGTAGTTGATAGTTGCTTAAGGACAAAAGCAGGCAGAGATCATTTCCTTTAGAACTTGATAAAAGCAATTTCTATTTGTAATAGGACGTTTTTTCCTGGAGGGAGGTATTATCTATGGGATGTTTTAAGTGCACGGAAACCATACTGAGGAATTAATTTAAGATTCCACTTATGTCCTTGAGCATTTCTTTAGTATTCTGCTTAATGTTACTAAAAGTCCTGGTTGAAAAACTAATGTTGGAAATCAAACTCCCTAGAGAAATAAAGATTCCCCCCCACCCCCCCCGGATTGTGTTAAATGGTTGCTTTCAGCATTCTGAAATCGGCAACTTGCTCATTGCAATAGTTGTATAAACTAACTTTGTAAAATGAGCCAAGTTCCTAAAGTGTTTTTATTATAATTTTAAATACTTGTTGACTACGAACTTCCCAGTTTCTCTGGTATTGCCCCTCTACAGCTTTAGAATGTCTAAATTGACTGCATATGTTATTTTACAAATTAGAGATTAGTTTACAGCAGAAGTCCCATAGATGGAACAACAGTGATATAGGTGAAGAGACTCAACGTTAGACACACCTTTGGACTCACAATTTTGGTTTACATACAGAGAGCAGAGTTAATGTGTTCTGATGGAACAAAAGGTGTCCATGAGTCTTTAACATTGCAGAGGTTTCAAACGAATTCCTTTTCACTCTAATATTGATTTGTATTATTCTGTTTAGAAACAGATTTAGGTGTCTAAAGTATAAGTGAGACAGAAGGTAGATTCTAGATGAGATGGTTCCCTGGGCAGGTTTGGATGTATAGCTTACTGTTGATGCAGAAGAAGGCCATGCTGCCTCTACTCCTCTCTGCTCCA